AACAAAACTTTCCTGAACGTGTCTTGATGTCGCTGCAGCTCCTACCTATTCTTTGCAGGTGTATCTGAGGTTTCCAGCTGATGTCCAGCAGTCTGCGCTGACGATCGATCTCTTCCTCGTACCGGACGATGGTTTTTTCAAACTCTGTGAATATTTCTTCAGCAGCAGCAGTTAGTCGCTCGCTGATAAACTCTCTCAGAGACTGAACTGAAGACATTGTTGCTGCACACACTCAAACATTCACCTCTCACACACACATACACACGAACAAAGCTAACTATGCTAACGCTGCTAGCGCCTTGTTGACTTCCGGTGGTGTCACGCTGTGAAACTCCGGCAGAAATTTCATATTTCCGCCTTCAATAAGAACCAACTGTTGAAATGAAAACAGAATAGTAATTTATGCGAGTTGGCACTAAACTTAATTATTTGATTTTAAAAAATCCTGTTCTATCTGATTTCACATTTTAACAGCTTAGTTTATCAGTTTATCTAGTTTGACTTCTTGGTCTGCTGCCTTCATACATCTCCTCCTACATGTCTCTGCGTGAGTGCAGCTACAGCGTGCGCTCTCAGGACATTATTACCTGCAGTGTTCCCTCAGTGAGGACTGAACTAGACAAAAGGGCATTCTCCTACTCCGCTCCTGTTTCCTGGAATATCTTACAAAAAGATTTGAAGCTCTTGAACTTTGACCTCTCTAAGTGGCTTTAAGAATCTGTTGGACTCCTGGCAGGGACCAATGCAGACACGTTCCTGTTTTTAGTTTTATACATTCGCCTTAGAATCTAGCTGTTTTTTTGTTACCTTTTTCTTTTAGCCATCCTATTTGTAAAAAAACAAACAAAAAAAACTGCAGTGTGACTTTTTATAATTGTTTATTGTCGTTGCTGTTGTCCATTGTTGTCAACTTTGTTGAATTCAGGTCTCTCTTGTAAATGAGTCCCCGAGGCTCAATGGGATTGCCTGTCTAAATAAAGGTTGAATGAATCTGCAGCTTGTTGATAAAAACTTGATACTGATTCTACAGTAGGAACATCGAGAGGATACTGTCATTTTTCCAAAACTCTTATTTCTTTCTGATACTAAGCATATTCAAAGAAAACATTTAACTATTCTAAAAATTCACTCATGAATATAGGAAAATACAACACTTTCATCTGGTCTTTTTTTCACCTAAACGCAACATTTATGTTGCATTTTATGAAAATGGAACATAAATGTTGCAATAAATGCAACATGTTAACTGCATTTTTGTCCTTCATCCTTTGAGAACAAAAAGTCTCGGCAAAAAAAGAAACTGTCCAGATGACCTGACTGAACATTGTTGCAACATTTATGTGTTTTATTGTAATTATATGTATAACTGTTGCAATAAATAACATCTTCCATCTGTGAAAATTCACCCTACTTAACCACGTAACATGACCTGCTTCTTATATGCCGAAGCGACGCATTTATATTTTTTTCCCCATATTTATAAACCAATTCTTGGTTGCGGTATTACTGTTTTCATTCATTCTGACTGAAAATATTGAACACTAACATTTTCAGCCGCTAGATGGCACTCGAGTAGTATGGCAGCAAGTTGTGTCATGTAATTGTTAAAAGTGGCTATTAATAACACATAACATTATTGAGCATGCATCAGGATATTAATTATGTTTATTTTTTTAAATTATCTAAATTGTATTTGTGTGTTTTTTTTTTTTAATGGAACTGAAATGAATGAAATAAATAAATAAATAAATAAATAAATAACACATTTGTCTTGCCATAATATATCACCTTTGTCCAGTTCGCCTGGGGTAAACATCAAATCAGCTTGATTTCACTGCGCCGCCCCGGTGGAATACAGCTAAGTTAACATTGAAGTGCATTTAAGTAAAAGTTCAACTGAGACACACCTTCACTACAATGTCGAGCAAACAAATTGTTTTTAAGTGTCAGTCTTGTTAAATTCTTGTTAAAGTCCTCCCGTGCACGCTCCCACGGCCGCCATTTGGAAGACAATCGATTTTTGCCACAACACCGGCCCACATTTCCATGTAGTCAGTGTTGACGTATAATAGATGTAACGTATATGGTGAAGCAACGTATTTATGGATTTTTCCACTTTATTAGACATATTTGGACTAATGTGACTTATAGGGTGGTGCGACGTGTACAGAGGAAAATACGGTACTTTATACTTAACAAGCCTTTATTTTAAAATACAGCATATTTGGAACGTACAAAATAATTTACAGGCAGAAAACCATTGGAATTAAACAAATTTATAAATCTACATTGTACAAATGTACAAACCGGATTCCCAAAAAGTTGGGACACTAAACAAATTGTGAATAAAAACTGAATGCAATGATGTGGAGGTGCCGACATCTAATATTTTATTCAGAATAGAACACAAATCACAGATCAAAAGTTTAAACTGAGAGAATGTTTCATTTTAAGGGAAAAATCTGTTGTTTCCAAATTTCATGGCGTCAACAAATCCCAAAAAAGTTGGGACAAGTCCATTTTTACCACTGTGTGACATCCCCCCTTCTTCTTACAACACTCAACAGACGTCTGGGGACAGAGGAGACCAGTTTCTCCAGTTTAGAAATAGGAATGCTCTCCCATTCATGTCTAATACAGGCCTCTAACTGTTCAATCGTCTTGGGCCTTCTTTCCAACAATGTTTAGTCAGGTCATCTGGACGGTTTCTTTTTTTGTCGACATTTCGTCCTTCATTCAAAGGACTTGATCAGTCTGAGGAGCCACAAAACAAACTGAGTCCCACAAGCAGCACACTCCCATGGTGGAAAAAACAGTGTGTTGGTGAAAGTAAAAGGCTTTTATTCGGTCTGAGTTGTCATGTGATTTTCGAAACTTGTTCTATCACTGTAACTTTTTCCACAGGTCTCACATGAGAAAGGCTTCTCACCTGTGAGTTTTCATGTGTTTGATTAAAGCAAAGTTTCGAGTAAAACCTTTTCCACAGGTCTGACATGAGAAAGGTTTCTCACCTGTGTGAGCTCTCATGTGTCTGATTAAATCAAATTTCTGATTAAAACTTTTTCCACATGTCTCACATGAGAAAGGTTTCTCACCTGTGTGAGTTCTAATGTGAACTTTTAAATTATATTTGTTTCTGAAAGTTTTTCCACAAGTCATACACAATACAGACGTTGTTTGGTTTATATTTACGTTTGCACGGTCCACATCGTCACCATAACCTCCTGTTTGTAGATTTGTCTTATTTTGTTTCGGCTCTTCATCTCTGCAGGATCCAGCCTCTACATTCCTGCTTCTTTCCTGATCTTGGTTCTCCACTTTAGGATAGTTTTGTGGAA